ACTCTGTACCCTGCATCATTATCTATCAGTGTGTCACATGTCTTTATATTGATAAATACCTTCATTCAAAATTTCAGGCTTCTACATTCCTTCCAAAATTCTCTTTTGTCTTTAGGGATGAGCTACTGATGGCACCAGGTTGGCTGTTGTAGTATAACCAGGTATGCAGCTATGAGTTCACCAGGAAATGAACTCCTAGCTTTGATAGCTTCCCATAGGTCAGTCCCTCCACGCCATCCATAGTCACCCTGGTGCACCTCTGCATCCCAAAGCATGTGGGAGTTTGGGGCTTCAAGTTCAAGAACTCCATTCATTTACCTAGAAGCAAATTCAGTCTTACTGTTCAAATTTGAGGAACGATTTCAATCAACTTAGTCATCTGGTTTTCTCCTACAGATAAGACAGAAACTCTGATTAGGAGGTTCTACTTAAGGCAAGCATGCTGGCTCTATTGAGAATGATCACAACCCAGCATCCTAGGCACCAGAGCATCCTAGGAAGAAACAGAAAATGTAAGGAGCAAAGCTAGCGAAGTACAGGCTGCTGGGCCAGCCCGGGGCACCTTGATTATCCTGGGAGACTGGTATGGTATGGGCACATTCAGCAGTGACTTGCCCAGTGTGACACAGGCCACCAAGAAAAAATTTAGTCTACTTATGGAAAAAGAACAATTTAATTTTGGTCATAAGAAGGCTCCACCTCTTCATACCAACTGCTCCCTCTGTGTTTTATTTTTGTCAATTCTAGCAGCATCTCTGCCCTCTAGGGACCCATTCTTTTTGCCTGTCTCAAGTGTGGAAAAAAATTCTTGTTGTCAGCAAGTTGACTTTATTCTAAATTGATTACATAAAGATTGGTCCTTGAAGGGAACACATTTTCATTGTCTGGAAATCACAAATTCATTTGCCAGAGTGAAAAGTACTTGCGGACAAAAATTGTTTTCCTGCTATCTGTCGCCTACTCTGTCTAATGTCCTTCCATATGTCTTTTGGCTCCTTTCTCAAAATTAAACTTTCCTTTAAAAGAAACAGAATGCCTCCTTCTCTTCAATTACTTTTAGTCCCCCTTCTGCAGGACAAGTTTAAGGAATAACAGCATACATTTGACATTTAATCAGCATTGTTTTCTGTGTGGTTTCATAGACAAAGATATTATAGACAAATATCACCATAAAATTTTATGACTATTATCTACCATTTAATATCTTTCTCTTCCTTCTAAAAGATAATCCTACATTTCCTGTTTTCTAGTCTAGTTCTTGCAGTGGTATTTTGTTTTGTTTTTCTGAAGTCACTAAAAGTGATGGATGAGGAATTTCTTTTCATCACCATATGATGCACTCTCGCTCATATTTTTCTTCTTCTATCTAGATTGCTGCTTGGAAATCAGAGCTGTTCCAATGAGCCACTCATGGGTGTCATCCTAAATTTTTTACTTCCTTCTTTAGGTCTCTAATAGGGCAAAATCTTGATTAACAAGTGTATAGGCAGACCTGCTTTGGGTCAGTACAACCATGTGGAAAACAATCGATCTTCATAAATCATACACAAGTGCTGTCTCACTGTATGCTGTCCCTAGCCTCCACTTAGTCTGGAGGTTGAATTCAAGCATAGACAAAAGTTGGAAGGCTGCGGATGGTCTTCGTCAAGCCAGACACACTTGCATCCCTCAGTGTGATTTCTCGGTTGCCAGTGACTACCATTCCCCTTTTTAACTCAGTGGTGTCCCTCTTTTTACTTCTGTCCTTCCCACATGGGACACATTGGTCATTTTGTATGTATAGTCTTAATGCTGTCTCTACTGTGTTTTTTCACTGAATGTTCTTTGGTGCCTTCCTGTGACATGAACACCTTTTTTGAGCTCAGTTCCTGAAGTATTAGGCAGCACTGAATGGGGGGGAGTTGGAGTGGAAGGCAGTGAAAGGTTTCCTGGTTACTCCAGAAGCCATAGGTGCAGCTGCCCACCTCCTTCTCGATGGTCATAAGAAGGCTCCACCTCTCCATACCGACTGCTCCATCTGTGTTGTTTTGTTTTTGCCAATTCTAGTAGCATCTCTGACTTCTAGGGACCCATTCTTTTTGCCTGTCTCAAGTGTGGAAAAAAAATTGTGCTGTCAGAGTTGTGTTGAAATAAAATTGGCCTTTGGCAGAAAGAGAGTTCAGAAGCTTTGGGGTATGGGGAGTCACAAGAGCTGAAGTGAGCAAGTTTGCAGTGGCCAGTCGTGATCTGGTGAAATGAGGGGCTGAGGAAGAGTTGTCCTGTGAGGTCAGCCAGGCTGGGCTTCTGGGACTGTTCCTGTACCAGTCACAGGGCTCTGCATCTCCAAGGGGGGCCTGCGGGCCACCTACATCTGATTCTCCCAGGTCCTTATTACACATGGTTCCCAAAGACACTAAATCAGAATACATAAGAGGAAACCTGAAGAGCTTTTCACAAGTTCTCCACAAATCTTCTGCTCCTAAATTAGAAGGGCAACCTGTTTGACATTCTGGTTGTCTGCTCAACAGCTCCCTGGAACTACTTAGGTATGCATATCTAGAGGAGCTGAGGAAGCCCTGACTCACCTCAGTCAGGCATGGAGGCATCTGAGACAGAAACCCGCAAGCCAGTTGGAGCCTTTGCCTCTAGTAGTGTGGGCTCCTCTGGCCTCCAGAGGAAAGACTAGCCGCAGTTCTTGAAGCTCAGCATGGTGCAGCCTTTGCATATGTTCATCTAGACTTTCTATTTCTTTCCTTTAAACCTCAGCCCCATTTTTCTTTCTAAGCTAATTCGAAACAATATTTCTCATTTATCCATGGCTCAGCTCTCAGCAAACCCAGAAAGATCTTCCTGTTTCCTGCCTTCCACCCCCAGGAACCTCAGCCGACACCCAGCCATTATCTTATGTAGGATTAGGTACTTCCCTTAGCACAACGTTGTCAGCTTGTTGCTTGTGTCTCTCTTTCCTATTCGTCCCTGAGTGTAACTGTCCTTATGTAACTGAGCTGCGCTCAGGGCCTGAGCCGGAATCGTGCTCTATAAATGCTTGTCAAATGAATGGATGAGCCAGAAGGTCTCGTGAGGCCCCTTGACGCACATTCTCCTCCATTTGCATCGCCTGCCATAAGGAATGACTGGATTAACTCGTATGTAAGATGAACTGTGTTTGTATTAGAAAGAGCTTCTTGCGATTCATACAAAGTTGTGTTTTGAGAATAAAACAAATAGGATGGGGAGAAAACTGGGTGCTTTAGGGGATCTAAACACTTGTGAAGCACATTTTTTTAATGCCACAAAATGCTTGAGAGAGCTTCAAGTAAATTTAAGAGAGGATCTACTAGATTTTGCCTAAGTGCTGAAAAAAAGTTTCCTTAATTCCCTATCCAAATACTTCAGCTTAAATTTACTGGTAGCTATTTCAGAGGAAGATGGGGACTGTGCAATTCTCAGTTTGTTATAAAGAAAATGTTTTTGGCTTCAACTGTTTATAGGAAGGATTAAAGGCAATTTACAGCTTGAACAGAAAGTAATAAAAACGGTAACAATGGAGTGTCTTCTAAATTGTCATTTTCTGGAATTACTAACAATATCAACCCAGCAGGCATTTTTTACATCTAAAAGGAATTATGTTCATTTGTCATGCTTTAAGGTAAACTATGACATCAATCTTGAACTGCTAACCTGGATTGTGTCACTCTATTGTTTAAGAAGAGGGATTGAGTCAGTTGTAGAGAAGATGGATTCTGTCATTAGATCATTTGCTACAGGACTCAAGATACAGATTTATAATTTATCTCTTTCAGAAAGTTGGACTGTGAAATCTACATGAAATGTATTTTCATAATATCAAGCCACAACCTGTTTAGGTTTTCCAGAAATGTTCCATTTTTAATTCCTTAGAGGAAAAAAAAAATCACAAGAATAAAAACAAATGAATCTGACCGGTTATTTCCCTTCCTGTGGTGCCCTTTTTTGTTACTAAGAGAGTGCCAGGTTACAAAGTTTCCTGCTATTTGTTTAATTTAAGCAATGATAGCTTCTTGTAGTACTTTACAATTTATGAAGAGGTTTTTAAATGAAATTGTACTCAGCCTTTGCAACAAGTGAGAGTAGTAATAATATCATACATTACATATTGCTAAATCCTTTTATTGTTTGAGGAGTACAGAGCTTCAGAGCTGTTTGGCCATTACCATTGTCAAATAATATAGGATCTATCTCCAAACAGTGTCCTGTCTAACTACACCTCTGGTGAATCCAATGCTGTTCCTTTTGGAGTATGTAGAAAAGAAAACCTGGAGATGTGTTTATTGTTTGTTCTTTTCTATTGTTAATTAAATAATGATTGGCGCCAATGCTTGATGAATCTCAAGTTTTAGCAAATACTCAAGTATTTGTTACAGATGATTTTTATGCCTAGTATAGTACCGAAAGTGAATCTGACATCATTTTAAATAAACATATAGGGCTGGAGAGATAGCTCAGGGGTCTTAAGTACATGCCTGGCACACCCATGGCCCTGGGTTGGACCCCAGTCCTGTGTGTGCCATGCTGGCCACTGAAACCAGGCACGATGGCGCGTGCCTGTAATCCCAGTGCTGGGGAGGCTGAGACAAGAGGATCACTACAAGCCCGAGTTGGGTAGTGTGATCATATACCGGATAAATAAAAAGAAAAAAAAAATAACATAAATAAATAAGCGTATAAATTTTGTATGATTCTCTTTAATTGTGTTAATGGTTCTGGGATTAGGTTAATATTTCTGAGTTATGTAATGTGCCAGTCTTACGTACATGATAGAGGCAATTTCTGGAATTAACGTCCTCCAGAGGTTGAGACCCTCCACATGGAAGGGACTTGATAGCTCTGACTGTCTGTGTTTTATGTTACTATCAAGTACCACATGGTACTTCTCCAATAACTCATGTCTTCAGTAGGTTGCGACCTGCTCACTCATCATAGAGTGCGTCCCGATGACCCTTGTAGGTTTATGTTTTAATCCATTTTCTTCTCTCCATCAGAGTAAAAGAAGCCGAGGAGGTGTGTAGGCAGAAAAAAGGAAAATCGCTTTATAAAATAAAACCAAGGCATGACTCTGGAATCGTAAGTATTATCTTGTTTTCAGCTTGGGCTTTTCCTTGGCTTTGAACCTTGTTCTCACAATATACACAGGTTTAATTATTTTCCTCTTAAATTTGGATGAATAGGAAGCTTCCAAATTCCAGAATATCCTTTACTTTATGTCTTTAATCAGACTCAGCAAGTGAAGGGAATCTCAATATGCAGTATGCAGAACTTAAGTTTAGTACAGTAAGCACGTTCAGTTGTGTACTTGTGCGTGCATCACTGAGGACAAGAGATCACCTCACACTTCGTTCATTGCACATGGGTCACAACCCACAGCTGCACCTGGCGCATCACGCGGTGTTGCGCTTTGCCAGGGGTACTCAGACCTCATCAAATGGCTCTACAAAGGTGGTCCATAGGTTGAGTTCAACAGTGAATCAATCTAAATTTCTGACTCTGCGCATTTCCCAAGACACCACATTGGGGAGAAGAGCTCAATTTAAATGACGACATTCTGTGTATGACACTGTAGAGGCTGTGTTGATTGTGTTGATGGCGTCATCACTTGGGGTCAGTGTAAGCAAATGGTACTGTTTTATTTGAAAAGTTGACTTAGGCCTTTAAAACAGGATGTCGTAAGTTAGATTGCTATAATGTAGCCTAAATGCAAAGGAGAGTAAGATAACTCAAATTGAAACACAATTAAGTAGCCCTTCTTAGAAAAGAACAGTAGGAACTCTATATTCATTTAAAAATCTTGTTTGCCCCTCAGTTTTTCTGTATCAAAGTTAATCTTATCTAATGACAGGTTTAATCTGATTAAAGTTCAATTTTAAAGCTGTATTTAATAAGGAAGAATACTTGTAAATATCAATCATCTTACTATAAGATTACGAGGGAATTCAAGCACATAAAATGAATTGATTACATTTTCATATTTATATGTTTGTAAGATCAAGCATGAGAAAGATCTTACAACACTCACATCAGTCAGAAATTTTATTTTATTTTCCATAATTTTATTGAGAGATAAATAGCATTGAGACAGTTTCAAATCAAATTGGTAGGACAGTTACAATAATTAACATATTGCATACTCTTCCTAGTGGTTATTTGCTGTACAAGATGCAGACATGATATCCTATTTACAAACATTATTAGAACAAATCCCTCTATTCATTAAGAGAATGTAATTGTATATGGACATTTGTCTGTACCCCCTTTTTTGTTTAGTTCCTTCATTTGAATATTATAGGTGTGTAAACACAGCAAAATATTCTAAAAGAGTCCAATAGTCCATAATAGTATTGGGTCTTCCACTTGACTGGCAATGTCAGAAATTGTTGATCTGAGTCCCCTACAGCTCAACATAAGAACATGGCTTTATTTCTTGAGGTTTGTTTGTTTGTTTGTTTTTTTGTTTTTGTTTTTTGTTTTTTTTGTTTTTTTTGTTTTTTTTTTTTTTTGCGGAACCGGGAATTGAACTCAGGCCCTTGCGCTTGCCAGCGAAGTGCTTTTCCATCTCCCTGGCTCCAAAGGATTTTTTTTTTTTTTTTCTTGGCTGCCTCTGAATGCCTTCAGGACATGCTTGAGTCCTGGGGATCGAACCACAGCAACTTGAGCCTGACTGCTTTGTTGAAGCAACCACTTAAACAGCTGAACTAAGGGGCAGGCTCCCAGTTTTACTTCTTATAGTTCATTTTTATACTTTTCTGCTGGATGGTTAAGACCAAGATAAAGCAAGACCTATGAAACAAGAGTTGTAGCTTTTGGATCTGATAAGGTCAGTCAAATCCCCTTAGGACTTATTCTGAGATCCTGTACCTTAGATTGTAGATCCTTTGTCAGTGTCAGCCACATGGATGAGTCACAGCCATTGCTTGGCCAATGTGCTCTCTGTGAAAGCCTGAGAGGTTTTCTCTCCATGTGACTCTCCTTAGGCACACTCTACATCATCGATCACTTTCCTCTTTGGACCCATAATCTCCTTGATCAGAAAATTTGGGACACTACTGAGTTACATGACAGTACAGTACAAGTTCTCATATGTCCTGAGTCTTGATTGACATTGGAAGGCTAGGGGCAAAATATTGGCTTTCCTTGCGGCCCTCCTTTTCTTCTAATTTTGGTCTGTACACATAGGTTGTTAACCCTCCAGAAGAGAATCTTATTGTTATTACCATACAACCTAGGTTGTCAAGCTTAACCTCACTATCTGTCTGAATATCAAACATCTTAAGCATAACATGGAATGGGTATTTTTCATCAAGTATTGATATGTTGAACTTTACGTCCCTACAGAATATGATGAAAAAACATTTGAAAAATTAAAATATATTTTAAACATAGGCATAAAGAATTGTATAATTCTTATGTTCACACATAAGTCTAGAAATCTAACCCTATATAACCTTGTAGCAGGACAGTCCCGCAACATTCCTTTTGCTGTCTCCTGCCTTCATTCACCACCCCCTTCTTTTTGAACAGTCATCTACCCGAGAGACAGCACAGCAGCAACTGGCATGTCATGACAAGCAGCCCGTATTTAGAAGACCAGAATGACAGGCACTCTAAGCATGAACCTATTACAAATTGCCATCTTCAGTGCAGTTGCACAGGTGTCAGTATAAAGAGTTAATCAGGGTGAAAATCATTCCACTTAACTGCTAGATTCAAAAGTCTTCTGAAGATTCTCAGGATCATTGCCTTACCTATCTTCTACATATAGCTGTATGGCTTGCCGCAGTCATGTTTCCTAGCTCTTCTCCTTTCCCTCTCTTAATTATTTAGTCCTCAAGTTCTTTCTTTCCTTTTAGTTGTATTATACCTTTCTATTTGTAATTCTTCCTTTGAGTTCTTATACTGGGGAAACTATGCAATATTTGCACATGTATGCCCAGTTTATTTCACTTATGAGTATATCTTCAAGTGGCATCCACTTCAATATAAAGGCTTTGAGTTTATCATTCATTATAGCAGAAGAATACTCCATTGTATAAAAATACCTCATCTTTTTCATCCATTCCTCAGGTGATGGGCATCTTGGCTGTTTCCAAGATTTGGCTCTCACAAATTGTGCTGCTATAAACATAGGCACACATAATCCCTATGATATGATGTTTTCAGATCCTCTGGGAAAATTCCCAGTAGAGGAATAGCTGGTTTAAATGGGATTTCCAGTCCAAGCTTTCTCAGGAGTCTGCACACTGATTTCCATAATGCTTGCACCAGTCTGCATTCCCACCAGCAGTGGAGAAGGGTTCCTTTTTCCCCACAGCCCTCCAACATTTGTTGATGGTTGATTTCGTGATGATAGCCATTCTTTCTGGGGTGAGATGATATCTCAGTTGTTTTAATTTGCATTTCATGGATGGCTAGTGATGTGGAGCATTTTTTCATATATTTATTCACTTCTTTAATTTCATCCTCTGAGAAGTGTGTGTTCATCTCAGCCCATTTCTGGATTGGGTCTTTAAATTTTGGGGCCCTAGTGCTTTTTAGTTCTTTATAAATTCTAGAGAGCAGACCTTTGTCTGAGTACTTATTTGT